TTTAAAGATTGTAGTCAGGAATGAACTTGCTATATAAACTAGTAAATCACTAGTCTAATTCATGACCAAGAGGTCTATCTCAGTTGCAGGATACTGCGGTATGTCTTAAAGGAAAGTGCTTCAGCTGAACCTTCAAACGTTGCCTCGAACTTACTGCAAGCCGAAAAAGAGCACATGTGGTGTTGCAGCACATCCCCAAGTTGTAAAGTGAAGTTATGTTGGACCACTGCATTGTGCAGTCTTTGGTGTCAGGAAAACTGCTTGATCTTGCAAGCAAGACAAGGATGTTATTGCAAAGAAATCCTGTAATTGTGAAGAAGTCCAAAACTTGGCAACTTTTCTTTTTCTCCAAGTCGGTACCCACGTTGAATTGATCAGCAGAACACTGTATGCTAGAATTGTTTCAAGTCTTACAGCCGAGGTAGAAAGTGGGGCTTTTAGGGGAGAAGAGGAAATAGTTTTATTTCAGACTTGAAAAGCCTTGAAGAAATACCCCGAATAGCTTGTACTTCAGCAACTTGGGAACTAGCTAGTGAAGAGGAGAGATGTTGAATTTTTGCCTGCTGTTCTTCCCAGATCAATTAGGGATGCAGCTTTTGTTGGTCTTAGCTTACAGTACACGGCTAATGTTTTTGTATCTACCCCACTGTCTTTTGAACTTCCAAAGGAAGGGAGAGTATTTTGTTTCTTCTTAGTCTCCCCCATCTCAGAAAGCAGGTGATATGAGAATGCAAGCAGAACAACAGCTTCATGGATCTCCACCTCCAAAATATATTCTGGTGGTAAGGAATTTTAAGGTCTAGCTTTGCTTTTCAGTTCCTTCCCAGGCAGCGGCATGCAACTCACCTGATGTTGGACAATTGCACAGCAGCTCTCGGGGCCCCAAGCAACAGCAGTAAATCTGTCGCACTTAACGTTCGTATTACTCTGCTGCTGGCTGACAATGGCTGTGAGCTGCTGCGGAGACACCAGAACAGCCTGCAGACGCAGGATGACGACACTCTTGGCTAAGCTATCTCTTTAAAAAGGCTTTAGTTTCTGCTGTAACTGGCTTGGCTTTCCTGACTGCCGAAGGAAATTTGGTAGCAGGCCAGTGGCCTCTTCAAGCCCTGAATTAGCTCTTAAAGTGCTATGGAAGTGCTAATTTTAATAATAAATAATAAAAACCCCTCTTGGACAATCTAGGAAGAATCCTGCATTGGCTGATAGCACACAGATTATGCCATCGGTTGGCTCAGAGCTGTCAGTTACTAAACCAAGCCAGATTGTAGTGAAAGCACAAATTGTGCTAACTTTAGGCTGTGGCATTGGACTTGCATTCAGACTAGAAATGGAAACAGTATGCAGTCAATTAGCGTTGAAGTTTCTCTCCATTCATTATATATAAATTTTAATCCAGATTTATGGCCTCAACTTGCTGATCTCCATTCGTTGGTGCAATCATAATTGCCTCCACCAAACTCTGTCCTGTGCATGCAGAAATGATGGACGAAATTTCTCTGCTGATGTTCTTATGGCTTAGTTTGTGTTCCTGTTGGATGACCAAAGATTTCCGTGTGGGTGCGGTGGGGGCTTTTTTGGCTGGGGGAAAGGAGATTTCTGTTGATAGTTGCTGCTTTTGTGACATGAAGTCCCCAAAATTTGAATCTTGGAAGGCTTAACTTCGGATGTGGTCATGATCTTGCTGTTACCACTTTAAAGTTGTCGGAATAACAGTGAACATACTGGGATTGCAAGACAGAAAACTTACTGATACTGGTTGGCACAATGTAAATGACACTATTTGGCATTAAGGTCGCCAAGTTTAACTGTAGGGTTTTTTTTTATATTGCAAGAAATGCCTGGATGATATTTGGTTTAAAAGGAAAACTGTTTCTTATTAAAAACAAACTATTGCTGAATTATTTTGTATAGCGGTCTTTATAGGTTAGGACTACACCTTTAGATATAGATTCACCAAATTGAGCAAGTATCCTACGGTATGTACTGGTTTGAGAAGTCAGTCTGAAGAGATGTTTGTTCCTTATATTTGGGCACGGAGAGAAGAACTTGAAGCTGTTACAAAATTTGTAGGTGGTTAGCTGAGTGTCACTGTGAGGAACTCGCATGGCAAACAACCCTTCTAACAATTTATCAGTTTCATAAATACTTTTTTCAAAGAGTAGAACACTTTTCAGCAGTCAGATTTTGCTACCTGCATGGTGTGACGTGGCGACTTGTAGAATTTCTTTCTAAATCCCCTAACAGACTAAATCAAGAATGTTCTTCCAGTGTAAAATTAGATGAAAGTGAGAGAAAGGGAAATGTCACTCTGTTGTTACTCTTTACCTATAAGTTTTAGCTGTAGGTAAGGCTTTCTTATGTCTGGAAAGAAAATGTTCCACCCTTTTGGAAAGGGACAGGCTGGAAACTGTTGAAGTAGGAAACTTAGACCCTGCTGTATGATGTGAAAGTAAAGACGTAAATGACATTCAAGATGGTCAGCAAACTTTGGCTTTGACCTGCCTAACAGTATGTTACTTAGCCAACAGCCTCAAGATGTAATTGGGGAGGTAGGAGGTATAAGTAGTAATTCCTGCAAGGAAATAAGTGTTTCCAGGAGGTCTCAGGACTCCATTAGGGACGTGAGACTGAGCCCTTGGGTGACCCAGCACCCAGCACTGTTGACCTCAGCAGTCTTTCCCCCTAGAAGCCTTTAGCAGCCAGCAGAGCCATGCGTTTGATATATGACTTAGGGTACAGCTACCCCCAAAGAGCTCCTAGGCTGTGTGCGCTATGCGCAGTCCGAGGAGCTCTCAAGAAACCAAAGGAATCACTTAGATTTTTGTTTGAAATTATACTATTACAGCAAGTGTCATTTAGGAGAAGCAGTGGTGTGAAGGAACTAAAGGTGTCTGACGTAAACGTATTCACTTAAGAGTTATAACATGTAAAAGTCCTAACTCGCAATGACCTTGTTTAATATTACTAGCACTGCTTGTTCCCTGTTGTCCATGTATAATCTCCTCTCCGTGTATTTGTTTGCTGGGCTAGGTGCTTTCGGCACTGTCCTCGCACTGAATAAACTCATCTGTAATGTGTGCTGTTGAGTTGAGATGGTGTGAGGAGGAGTAAGGCTTTGTGCTTCAATCATAGGATCATTAAGGTTGGAAAAGACCCTTAAGATCATCAAGTCCAACCGTTACCCTATCACTGCCAAGTCCGCCGCTAAACCATGTCCCGAAGCACCACATCTCCCCGGCTTTTAAATCCCTCCAGGGACGGGGACTCAGCCCCTGCCCTGGGCAGCCTGGGCCAGGGCCTGACAGCCCTTTGGGGAAGAAGTTTTTCCCAATACCCAACCCAAACCTGCCCTGGCGCAGCTTGAGGCCGTTCCCTCTCGTCCCATCGCTTGTTCCTGGGGAGAAGAGACCGACCCCCCCCCGGCTCCAGCCTCCTTTCAGGCCGTTGCAGAGAGCGATGAGGGCTCCCCTCAGCCTCCTCTTCTCCAGGCTGAGCCCCCCCAGCTCCCCCAGCCGCTCCTCCCCAGCCTTGGGCTCCAGCCCCTGCCCCAGCCTCGCTGCCCTGCTCTGGCCACGCTCCAGCCCCTCCATGGCCGCCTTGGGGTGAGGGGCCCAGCGCTGAGCACAGCATTCGAGGGGCGGCCTCCCCAGTGCCCAGCACAGGGGGACCATCCCTGCCCTGCTCCTGCTGGCCACACTAGTCCTGATACAGGCCAGGGTGCCATTGGCCTTCTTACTCATACTCGAAGCATGTAGCCTGGTTATCTTGGTCTAGCTGCATACAGACCATTAAAAACTGTTAGCCAGAAACTTCAAATAGTTACGCCTTAATTGCTTATAAATCTAGAAGAGATTAGGGAATGTAAAAGGAAGGAGCTGAGTAGCCTCTTCTATGTGCTCTAGTGCTTTCGTCCTTGGCTCACAGCAAATTCGTAGCCTTGCTTTAGTAAAATTAAGTGTTCTTATGAAGAGGTAGAGATTTTTAATTTTGGTGAAATGGAAATGATCATTAAAACATGCATTGAAGCAGGCCTGGTCTTTTCGTTATGTTTGCCTGGCAAAGCACTCATGTCATACAATAGGTTATCTGACCACATTTTTGCTGTTCCAACTAGACCTTGGTCGAGTTAGGTGTTTACCCCAGCAGCAAGGCTGCCTGAAGAATATCCTTACAAAAGGAGAAGCCATTAGTCGTGAAACTATGAATGGGAAAAGTAAGCCTGGATTTGCATGCCTTAAAAGACATAGTCTATGATGCCAGACCAGCTCTAATTTTTCCTAGTAAATATGATAATTTCTACTCCATGTTAATTCTAAAAAGATGTTAATGCCTCTCTTCAGACCTTTTTTTGCCATTGCTTTCCTCTGCCTGATTTTTTTCCGATAAATATGGCAAATAATCGGTTTTCCCTCTTCACCCTGAAGCCAGGGCTATTAATCAGAAACACCATCATCATCATAATCATCTTTTTCATGCTTCAAATGTGATTCAAGTGAGAAACCCATGTTTTTGTTACAGAAGGGCTCATAGCATATGTGGAGATACTCAAGGGTGGTTTGTGCTCTTGGCCTGGGTAGCTGTGTGTTATCTAAAGGATACTTGCACTTTTTTTTAAGCTGGCCTACGTTAACAACGGTCACGGTGCCTGTCGTGTATATCTGTCCTGTTGTTAACAGTGTTATAACTTAATTGTTACACGAGATCCCTATAATTACCTTCTCTCTCACACACGGCTTTGCCTTATCGGCATCTATTGAGTTTAACAAATGAAGAGGAGATTTGATACTTGATTGAATTTAGAGACTTGCTGGTTTGCTTTGGGCACTCATTTATAAACTGTGCAAATTATGATTCCTCTTCTAATGTTTCATTTGAAAATAGAAGCTGACAGTCCGGACTCATATTATTTCTGCTGGTTTTGAGACGGCTGGTGCATTCATCATTAGGACACGTGTGGGGAACCTTTAGTACAGCTGTAACTTCTCTTCTCCTTACAGGCTTCACAGAGCTCAGTGTGCAATTAAACAGACTCAGGTAACTGTTCAGAAAATAGGAAGGGAGATTGAAGAAAAGCTGAGATGTACATCTACAAGCAACGAACTGGTAAGTTTGGTTATTTAAAACCTTATTCTACAGGTTTGCTGAAGTATCTGGCTGATGTCTTGACCATAAGCTTGCTTTTTTAACACTTGAACTTGAAATCTTTATTTAAACCTGTCATGTCAAATGGGAACTCATCTGAGAAGCGTAAGGTAATGGATTTTAGAATTGTGCGTGTTACTCCGATGGACTAACAGATTGCTTATCCTATCTTTACCTTTATTTTGTATAATTGCTTTTATACTATAAAAGCATAAACATTGCACAGGGCATGGAAGAGGTTTATCAGGAAAACCAAACTTTTAATGATTTAGATAAATCTTGACAGGAACCTGTGGTGAATTTAGAGTGGGGTGAGCCTACTGGCTGTATCTTCTTGCACCCTGCTCCCTTTGGGCGAAGAGAATTAATGCAAAAGCTGTCACTGAAGTGACACGTTCATTTTAAGAAGGGATTGTATTAGACCTTGCAATAGCTTTTGACAGGTTGTTTTGCCTGTCCTCTTCCCCTCTCCAAAAAAGCGTACTGGCACTAGTTTCTACCTTCTGCCCAGAAAGGCTGAGCTCAGTTCCAGCAGTGAGTTGACAGAACAAGAGTGGCTTGTGGAGACTTCGTTGTGTTGGTACTCACCTGCCCGTGTCTGGTGCCTTGTGTAGGAAAGGGCAAACTTGTGACGTGAAGTTACTTTATTACTTTTAAGGTAGGTTCTGGGTTGAGAGTACTCAGCTCATTTCCAAAAGTGTCAAACTGGTTTAAGGGTTTGACAAAATGGAAAAATGGGAGTTTGTTTACCCGCTAATTACAGGGTTGCGTTGTAGACAAGGAAGCAAAGGCATCAGCTGCCTTAAGGGGCAATATAGCATCTCCTGTGAGTGACTCCAACTCTTGTCCCTCTATGCAAAGGCTTTTCCTTTATAAACATGTGTGAGCAAAACTATACGAACTAAAACCAAAAATGGCAATGATAGTATACCTGATGCAACTTCTTAGCAGCCACGACCTATGGTATAAGGAAATTATTACCTATTTTTTCTTTTCCTTTGTTTAATAGCGGAAACGCTTGTTGGGCTTCTATTCCTCTTTACAAATGTGTGAACTATAGTTTCATTCCTTAATATTGAGTCACGTTTCCTGCTGGAGTCTGGAACCGGAAGGCTGAGCATAGATGTGCAACTGAAGCAAATATGGAGGGAAGAGTTCAGCAAGAGCTGACTTTTTTCAGGCAGCTGGTGTTGAAGTAGCATTATCTCCATTAACTGCTTGAAGAAGTGAAAGCTGGCCGAGTTACACGAAGTGACAGTATCTGGTAGTACTTACACCAGACTTGCTCACAAGTATGCCTGACTGCCCCTCCAGATTTTGAACTCTGTCAGGGGTATGACAATTCTCTTTTCCGCTATGAATCTGTCTTCAGTTATTCTCAGCAAGTATCTGTTAAATATAGTAGGTATTCCTTCCTTAAAACAAAATGAAAAAACACTTACAATAGAAAATTCTGCTTTGCTATGCACATGGCAGCACAATTTCTTAGCAGAGACAGTGCATCAAAGAAAAAAACAGATTCTTTTTAAACAGAGGAATAGATTTAGAGTAGGTACAGGACAAAACCTAAACCTTTTAAAGAAGGGATCCTTCAAATATAATTGTGTGTAATGACGTAACTCGCTCCCCACTATGGGTTCTTTCCTTTTGTATCCTTTTTTTCTCGTCACCCTGAAGCTGGGAATTGGATCTAATAGTGCAGCTCAGACATCTCTAACCTTTTTCCAGCTCCCTGTCTCAATTTAGTATAGACTCCTCATTGCTCATCTTCCCTCTTGTTGCTGAAGCCTTTGCCGGGGAATGAAGGCTTGTCGTGCCACTAGCCCTCTGCTATTAGTCTCTGTACTTGTCCCATGGAAGCTTCCTCCCACCTCTTCTTCCTCTCTTAATTTCTGCCCTGGGCCAGGTTGCATCTCTGAGCACAGGAGAGGGGATGCATCCCATAGGAGGAGCAAGCACTGTGGGACACAGCTGAGTTTCTCTCCTTCCAAAGCAGCAAAACGATTAGGGTCTTTGGTAATCTATTGCCTGTTGTAATCTATGAGCTTAGCCGTTAGGACAAGACTAGTGTTTGCCAGACTTTTTCCCTTCCCTCCTATCACCCCTTTTACGGACCTGCTTGTGTGCAGAAAAACTTAATTTTTTTTTTTTTAAATCTATTTTTCTTCCAATAGAAAAAGGAGAGTGAATGTTTACAGTTGAAGATCCTGGTGCTACGTAATGAACTGGAGAGGCAGAAGAAGGCCCTTGGTCAAGAAGTAGCCTTGTTGCATAAGGAGAAAAATACTTTGCATGACAGAGGTAAGTGTGGAATTGTTACCGCTTCTATTGCGGATATTCACAATCTGCTGCTCAGAAGAGCAGTACCCTAGCTTATGCTCATGGCGACCAAAATGAAGGCGATGTTTTGGTTTTTGGTCTGGCTCTAATGTTTGTGCTTTTTCTTTATCTGAAGTTAGCAGCCAGATATAATCTCTTCACCATCTGTGCTATACTGAATTCTGGACAGCAGTTTCTGGTATCCAGCCTCTAAATAACTTCTTACTATGACACTTCTCTAAAGCAATCTTAAGTCTGTGCTTAATTAAAATTTTATGAGAAAATAAGAGCTGCACTGTAACGCAGTAAACAGTGGCTTGATGCATGCATGTTATAGTGTCATGTGGGATGTTATTGTACCTGTGATTAGGATCTCATTTTAAGTGTTAGAAGACAAAAATCCCTCTTAATAACTTATTACGTAAGTGAAAGGTGAAATGCTCAGTCTTCTCAGTATTTCATTTTACTGGGAAAGCGTCCTGTAGTAAAATGCTATATCACTGTCTCTCTGGAGCTCACCAAGCTACACGGATACTTGATCTTGTTGCAGGACTTTTTTGAGTCTAAAATAATTAGTTGCTACTAAAAATGAGGGTTTTGCCACTTACTTTATTCTGGTTATGCAAATATTGAGATGCCTTAACTGAATTACTCCACTACTGTGGACATGGGGGTAACAGGTGCTAGAGGAAAATGAAGTTTTGCTGGTGAATGGTGTATAGTGCATGAAGACAGGTGCTCCTGCTGCGCTGTCATTCCCCAGTTTGGCAGCATAACACGGAAAACGAGCATCGAAGAGTAAATGGAGGATTATAATATATACGCCATTATAATATATACCCCATGCAATGCTACAAGCTTGGGGAGGAGTAGCTGGAGAGCTGCCTGGTGGAAAAGGACCTGGGGGTGTTGGTCGA